TTGCTTTAGAGCCGACAATCTTGTTGAAACACCATTGTTCAACAATCATTAATTTTAACAAGTACTATTCGGCTATAATTGCCTACACCTATAATGTTGTTAATATTTAGGTCAAACAGTTTCATGTTCTTGAACATTATATTTGTTTTGTTTTTTTGCTGTTAATTAATTGACTGTCAATAGCCAGTAACTTAAAGTCAATGGCGGTTGAAAATAAATTTAAAAACAGATATTAACTCAATGTATAACTTTTGACACGGATTTTATTTAACACTAAGGAAAAGAAGTATCGTTATATTACCATTTAGTAATGCTACGAATAGCTGAAATATTATATTAGCATTCAAGAAATCTAGAGCATAAATTATCTAAAAAATATTATAAGTTTTGTACCAATTGTTCCGATTTTGTTTAGAATTAAAATTTAGACAAAAAACTTAAATTTACATTCTCTAGACGTGATACAATTTTCAAAATATTTATAGACAGGTAGGTAGGTTTAGTTATCTTGTACCGATTCTCGCTAAGATGCCTCGACACTGTGCATAGCCGTCCAGAAACATCAAATTAAAACATGTATGAATACAGAATATTAATATATTTTAGTCGAAAACATTTACCAAGTGACGATTGCCGACTGAAATTCTAATATTGCCGAGTAGGGGGTGTCGTACCCCCCATGACTAACCTTCGGTTCGTTCCTGACTATATCCATTTGTTTTAAATAAAATATAAGCCTTTTTAGTGATTCATATCATCTATAATCTATACATGCTACTCAGCCAGATACTACACCATGTAAAATTGATCTAATATTTTTATACTATTTACTTAATGGTAACGTAGATTGTCTTGAGTTACTTTCAATGACTGGTTTTCACATCAATTAAACATCGGAGTAATTAAATTGTTAAATGTCTCGTTGTGTGCCACTAACTATAGAATCGAATTTGCCACGAGTCTCATAGCCAATTATGCTGATTTTTCTTTGTCTCGTGAAATTATTTAATCAAATGTTTATAAGGCATTGTTAAGGCATTATAATTGCATTATATAATTTGTTATGTTTGTTTAATATGATTTTTATCTATGTTTTGTTTTGATATTTTATAGTTAGAGGGTGCACACCCGTTTACAAATTGTAAAATAATTATAATATTAGAGTTGGTTGAAAAGGGGATACTGTCCGAAAACGGCGACGTCCGCGGCACAACGACCGTTTACAGCGTAGCGTTTACGGACGTATTCTTTACAAACTAAAATGCGTGTCGAAATTGTTATTTTTAGTGTGAACGATACGGTGAAAACTGTAAGTCATTTCCGGGAGAGTGTTTTGATTGGTATTTTGACGACCACACTAAACATAGTATATTATAATGTACTCACGGCGATATTCTACAATCTTCGCCACGTTAAGTTAAATTTGCCGTGGCACTGGCTGTAACCTTTGATCAGTTTACATAAACGTAAAAGTGAGATATTTTTGAAATTCGGATTTTTGTTTCCGGTTATTTAGATTGTTTCGTTTTGTGAGCGTACAAAGATCACGTGATTGGATCGGGGTGAAGGTTTAAAGCTACGTGACAAAAATTCGAAAAATAATACTTCGGCCCTTGGATATTTTTCATTTACCTACGGTGCTGTGGTAACCATATTCAGCCGATCAATATAATAATAATATTATAATAAAATCACTTGACCGCTTTTTAGTAACTTTGATTCACTCGTAGTGAGACCTAATTAATAGCAAGTGAATCGAGCTGTGAATAAAAAAAAGGACTTCTTCAATTCACCAACCATACAAAAATGTCTAACGGAAACCACCTCTGAAGTTGATGATCGGAGCAAGATATTTCATAAAAAGTTTTTTACAAACAGGAAAAAAATAAAAAAAACATCTAATAGACAGTGTCGATTATAATCATAGACTGTCACAGTTTGTACATTTTTTCCAAATTCTAGAATTCAAATTCAAAATCTATGGTTTGGTTGCGTAAGGGTCCAGAGTATTTGTATATGATCCTCCGATTGGTTCGAGAAAGATGTGCAACATATTATACATTTTAACTATAGAATCGTGTGTAGTTGATAGATTTGAGTTGATAGAGTTGACAGATAAGTTTGAAGAGAAGCATATCGATGAGTCTCTACTCATTACGAGACACGAGACAAGAGAAGGCTGTACGAGTTGTTTTGGTAGTGAATGATGTATAATAAATAAGAAGCAGGTGATGGATTGAAGACCAAAAAGGAGATGTTTATGGAGGAAGACTATTGGGAGTGATACTAATATGAAGACTGTAACTGGGATGTACAATACATACATACATACACAGATTATATGGGAGACCACACTAGGTGTAGATTTGAAACCGAGCTCGCCCATTCCAAATATGTAGTTGGCAAGATTGGAGAAGAAGAAAATAAATTAAGTAGGTAACTCAGTAACGTATCTCGTATCTAAAAGGGATTTTGTCGACTTTTATTAATTCGAATAGTTTTATTTTATTAGTTAGTTACACAAACATTCGTGTGTCGAATTCGGTAAAGAACGAAATACATAAAATACCTTATAATTAATAAGCGTGCGTTAATCAATCAAGTGCAGGTATTTTAATGAATTTTTGTTTCTTTAACTATAAGTAGCTATAATTGCAGTGGCGCACAGAGGAATTTTGAGAGTACGTGTAGATCACAAAATTACTTTCGAACCTACTTTTTTTTAAATTTAATTATTTTTAAGCTTCCCCATGAAACCAATACATCAATATTCTGTAATCTGCTCCCACCCGTCTGTGCACCACAGTTTTTATAAAGTAATATATTTTCAACAGATACTCTATTGTAAAACTGTACTGGGCGATTTTTTTATCAAGATCCATTAATATTATTTCGATTAATTTACTGTTTGCTATAACTCATTAAAGATAAATTTAAATCAGTGGTTATTATAATATTTAAGTTCAAATGTGGATAGAGGGTGAAATAAGTTACATTTTTAAATTCTCTTCCTTCTAAAAATATTTAAATTATGACCGAAAATCCAAACTAAACTGTAGTGTTATGCTCACACAACATATTTATATACAATTTATTATTTATATTATTATAACAGCGTGACTAAAAGATTCAAGTATTTGGTATTCTCTATCTAAAAATGCCAATAATTTAATAAAAATAACAGAGCATTCGCTGTTAGAGAGGGATACTTAATATATTCTTTACAAATTAAGTATTTTAAAATGGGTCGAACATAGTAGTCCGACATTTGCTCGGACCCGTGGACCTAACATTCTTCAATTTTTCAAGGCCAGTATAGATATTCGAGATACTAAAGCTGCAATTATTAGGAAGGTTTTGATATAAAAACGGGAAATCAACTGGGTGAACAGTAGACGGTGTGGTATAAACAGAGTTAAATTATGAAGAGAAAATATTTGGAATTTAAGCGGGGTTGGAACTGGAGGAATCATTAAAGAAAATATATCTAGAAATGGAATTATTAGACTTATAATTATGGATAAAGGTTTTAAAAGAGCGGGGGTATTGCCTCAACGAGGCTTCAATACGAGTTAAGTAGGATTTGTAACATTTTTTGTATTCTAGTTTATAGAGAGCCCGGAGTTTAAAGAATAGAACATACCATGAGGATCATTAGTTTGTTTGAAGAGGGTATGCACTTTTATTTTGGCGTAGATTATAGATGTTAATTATTTAAAGAACCAGATAGGAGAATTTTGAGTTGACATAAGTAGCAACAGGGACATATTGTAAGATGTTAAAGTGAAGAGCATCTTAGAGTGTGTTAACGGTGAAGTCAACATCGAGGTTTCTAAAAGTGTCAACCCAGTTAAAAGACTCAAGAAAAGAGAGTATGCGAGGGTAAGATGCTTTATGAAAATTTTAATAAGTATGAGACTTATCCAGAAAAGGTACAGCATCAGTCAAAGAAGAAAATACATTGAGTGCTGGATGGTAAAGATCACAAGGAACTGCATAGCGAGTCGATTTAACAAAATGCGTGGGTATTATTGGAAAAAATTAGATCAAGTAGTTTATCAAAGTAATTATAAATGTTATTCAATTGAAAGAAGTTAAGGAAAGCAAACAAGTCAGGTCTAATGTGATTGGACCGTAAGTTGATGAAAAGACCAAATGCGTCGTTAGACCAACATATATCAGGGAGATTAAAGTCACTACGTAAAATTAATGATACATTAGATTGTTCAGAGTTAACGGTTTGAATAGGTTTGAAACGGTTTGATTCATATAACAAGGCCGGACTATTAGAGGGAATATATACGGTGCTAATAATAAAGTTAATGTTATTCAGATGAAAACAAACAAATAAGTGCTCAACATTCGCAATGGGTGAAGACATTAAAAAAGAGGCAATATCATTGCGGACAGTAATAAGAGGATTCCTTTGTTAGCCTTGTTAGCTTTTGGAATGCTGTTCACGTAGGAGATGACCAAGTCCGATTCACCAGCTTCCTTCCTTCAGTCTAGATCAGCGTAGGCAGCGCGAAATAGTTCACGTTCACATTTTGTCTTGTTACGTACGATAGAGATTTGAGAAGGAAGAAGATTGTTACGTTCAGCACCGATGACATCATGGAGTACAGAGGAGGCTATATCTCTAGAGTTGACGGGCCGACAGAACCCGGGTTTACTATAACCAAGCCTGAAGAACTTGGAGTATTCCAGGAGAGGTATATTGAGGGTAATGAAAAGACTCAATCCTCAACTTTAGGAAAACGCGAGGATATCAACTGGTATTTATCCTAGCGCATATATCAACACCGTGGCCACGTAAAATGATATTATAATTCTAGTTTATTGATCTTGTCATCATTCTCGGATTTATCACTCGGAATCCCTCCAAGCAGGAGGAAGGTAGTAATATAATTAGTAAGCTAAAATGTTGATATATTTAAAAAATATTTATTCTTTGTGTTACCATAAATAAAGAGAGCATTATATAACTAATACAAATTTATTCCCATTTTGAGTCACTACATAGTGACTACCCGAAGTATATATATATATTTCCGTATCCTTAGTTTCTTTCTTTTCTGCAGTATTACTACAATACATAAACATTTCAAAATTATTTTAAAATAGAATTTAGACAATTCCACACGTTATTATTGAAAAACAAAATTACAGAAATCAAATGTACTCATAATATTTCGGAAAATTTGCTGGATTGCAATAAAAGATTTACCCGGTATACAATGAAATCTAAAAATGTCTACATAGGTACCTATTTAGCTGTTTAAAATAGTTTCAGTTTTTTACTATATAACATGGTATTAAGAGAAAAATAATATTATCGTCAAAAATATATTACGACAACTTCGCGGTACATAATAATTAATTATAATACCGTATTTATTCGGATTCGCGTTACAAATGCATTTTCAAACCACGTACCAGTCGGCTTCTGAATTTCCAAAAGTCCTGGAAACATTCAAAAAGTCTTGTAATAATAATTGTTGTACAATTTTATTATTATTTCAATCAAGTTGTGATGTAATATTTGTTTTTTTTTTTTTATGTTTTTCGAATTTATATAATACTGTTATAATATTTATAGGCAGTGGCGGCTTACCAGTTATGGCGAGTAAGGTACAGCCTCATCAAGGTGAAATTTTCTTAATTTCATTTTGAAAATACCATAGGTATTTCAATATTTTAAAACGAATTTCGAAAATATATTTATCTGTATACGTACCTACCGATAACTAAAGTCTAAACTCAACAAATAATAGTGTAACAAAATCGTACGGCTTTACTATATTAGAACGTGGTACTACATAATAGTAGCAAATATATTATTTTCTTCGTTTATATTAACATTTATCCTCTTGTAATTTTCAAAATATTAACCTCAGCACTTATGGCTCTATGAGCCGCCACTGCTTATGACTTGTTAATTTGTTGTTATATTCTTATTATATTTACTCTGAAATCCATATCGTCAAACCCCCGTCTACGGGCTATTTCCTTGACTTCATCGGCGATATTCTGCTGGGTCGTGTCTGTGACGTCGATGTATTGACATTCACAAGACGCAAAATGACAAGAAATTGCTTTTCTCGTTTCCTTATTTATACAGTACGTGGTTGATGAATATAAAACAAACAGTTAAATATATGCATAATATAATTATTCAATAAGTTTTTTGTTTTTTAATTAGAGCTTTTAGACATTCAATAAGTTATCAACAATAAATGTAGATAGGAGTAATTAACTGTGAAGTATATGCTACAATGACAGATGAGAATTACGGAAAGGCGTAGTGATTACGGCGAAAAATCTGAATAAAACTATAGAAGAAGAAAATAATTTGTAAAACCGTGTTATGAAATATCTACCCAGCTTACCTACTTAGTATATTACCTACTTAAAATTACGAACACATGATTTTCAGATTGAAAATCGACTAAAGAATTGGATAATAAATTATTGCAAGCGAATCTTTTCAATTCGAGATCTAATAAAAAAAAAAAAAAAAATAAGAAGAAATGTACATAAAAGCGTGTGTGTAAATTTGAGTATTTAGTACTCAATTTGGGCAAATAAAATGGGGTAATCGATCCTCATTGATTTGATTATAGGTAACATACTTTTGTCGTGTTCGGTCCCGATCCGTGTATGAGTAATGGATGGAAAAATACCGTGTCGCCAGGATTCATGTTCAAATGTATTATTTTAGCGGCGCGTAGACTGTCGTCGTGTCCGATGATTCCATGAAAACCTTTGTTTACGGCTCCCTTAAAAAAAAAAAAAATCATGAAACGATAATTAAATACATATTATAGTAATTATTAATATTTTTCTTAATAAAGAGTGACCGCAGAGGCGTATATAGGATTTTCTTGAGGGGGAAAGGATTGAAATATCAATTTTTTATCAGTTTTTATTTTTTTATAAGGCATTTTATAATTAATATATTATTATTCGAATTTACTTTGTTCCATTGGTTTATAATATAAATTCAAGTTATCTTTTTTTATTAACCACGAATGAAAAATTGATATTATGTAGTTATCTCGATGTCTCTGTGACATGGTAGCAAAAATAGCACCTTTAAATCGATCAGGAGTAATAGTATTTAATATTATAAAGGTGCAGAAGACCTATGCATAATATATTTTTATGTCTTAATAGGATTTTTTATTGAAAACCTTAAGTAGTGCCTGAAGTCCTCACTCCTGAGTTTGAGAATTATGTTTTCTGTAATAAATTTTAATGTTTACATAGGTATTTAATTCGATCGATCTAGAATGTTGGTCGATTACAGGTGAATAAACGTCTATAAATTCAATATATTAATTTCGTTTAAATGCTTCTGTTAAAAAAAAAAAAATGAGTCAAGTACAAGAATGGGATCTATTCCTCAAGACTTCATTTTCATAAATATGCTATTAGATGAACACGCGTTGGCAATGATCTTACTTTCCATTGTGGATATTCGTGTGGCAGTAGTTTGCCCGGGTCCACGTGTGAACCTGGCAAGACAAACAGACATCCGTTGGCTTCAGTGACGGTTTGCATTGCCGTCCACGTGGCCACGATCTTGTCCGCCGGACGAAAAGCAAAATAATGTAAATCCTGTTAAACAGAAATAAAAATAGCTAATACTGCTTACGGGTTCCCCTGTTGTAGGTAGAATACATAAAGTTATTTAATTTATATCTGTACACTAAACGGTAAATCACCGCTGACGAACTATGATTTTAAGGGAAGTTTGGTTGAAATGCCATGGTTTTTACGATTTTGGTCAAAATTTTAACCTAAAATGCGTATGTATAATGTACTGTTACAATTATTGTTTTTAAGATTAGCACCACTAATATACCTGTACGTATAAATACCGCCGGGTATTCCGGAAGGCCCTGGAAAAAATACTGTTGTGAGGTCTAAAAGTTATACATTTTAAATTTGGAGAAAAAATGAATACTGCCCATAACGGGCATAATTAATATTATTGTTAAAATACAATTGCACTAAAATGATTGGAAATATGTATAGATTATACACACGTATATTATTATTAGGTATAACTAACTGTAATAGTTTAAAGGCGATATAATTAATAAAAGATAAGCAATATTGATAAAAAATAAATGATAAGAAGTCGGGACTTACCTGTCATAGCCCATAATAATATGCTTTGTCTCAATTTGATTAATACTGATGTGTTCATTTTGGCAGTAGACTGAATGAACGTAAAAACACAGATCCATCCTCGCTTTTTCACACTTTCATCATCTTTTTCACCACGACTTTCACCTTTAATCCCATTGTATGACTATTTTCACCCCATCACCCCTATCACATCCATCTATCTACACAGTTATATATCATCCATAACTTCACTCCCTCTCCCGAACTGGCATAATAGACTACTGATAATTTTGGAATAATTGTGTTGTCATATTCAAAACTATAATACATAATAACAAACTCAAACACGATTTATTATTTATTAACTGTAGTTGTCGTCCGTGTAGCAAAACATAAAAGTATATTATTATTTTCTCGTGCTAGAAAAGTTCCGTCCAAGTTCCGTTTACAAAATCCAAACAAATCGCGTTCAATTGAAATGTTTGTATTTTTATTATGTATTGTAGTCGCGGGACAAAACTTTTCGACTAATTTCGAAAAACGCATTTTCATAAAATGTTGTATTTTTCGTTAAACGGTTACGGACGTTACGATTTAATTATTTAATTGTAGTTTTCGTTTACAAACTTGATAAAAATGACTATATAGTCATACTTGTATACTCAGGATTTAGTTCATTTTCGAAAACACTCAAGGAAATAGAACGTCTGAACCCAAACAATCTTAAACGACAATCGTAAATTTGTTCTTGAAGAAAAAAATACGAGGTAGAACTTTTTCGATTTTGTAGTATACATAGCGTGGAATACAAATATTTTTACTCCATATTACAACAATTTCCCCGTTACTTTTGTACATTTAGGCTCCCTCTGGATCAAACGATTCCGAACTCAGGAATAAGAGTTATTTTACCGACGGATCGAAGTGATAAAAGTTAGATTGAATTTTAATATGCAATTCACCATGTTTTCGCAGGAGAAAAGTCCCTATTTTACTCTTTTAGCGGTTATATCTTAGCGGTTAGCAATCGGCATACTATTAACAACCATCGATAATAATAATAATTATCATTAACAAATATAATCAGCATTTTAATGAAATAACTAAAAATAATCATAGTCATAATTTTAATAAGGTTAATACAAATTAGCATAAATATAATAATAATGAGCCCTTTAAAAATCATAATCAAATCAACATCATAATAATCATCAGCACACTTATAACAACTATCAATAATAATAATGATCCTCAACAAATATTATAGTCAGCATTTTAATAAGAATAATCATTAATAATAAATAATACAACACAATTGTTGATGATTAACAGATATCATAATTAGCATTTTAACAAAATAATTAACTATAATCATAATCATAATCACCATTTTAATAAGAAGCATAATAGGTAACAATGAGAACGATGATCATTTAAATAATAATAATCACCAATAATAAATTATTATTATTAAATAATAACAATTGTATTGTATTATTTATTATTAATGATTATTCTTATTAAAATGCTGACTATAATATTTGTTGAGGATCATTATTATTATTGATAGTTGTTATAAGTGTGCTGATGATTATTATTGTTGATTAATATTATTGATGATTATTATTGATTTGATTATTTTACTAAAATGCTTATTATGAAATTCATTGATGATGATTATTATTATTGATCGTTGTTAATATGTCAATTGTTATTATTGTTCATAAATATTAATAAAATGCGCATTAATACACGTATTTATGTAATCATTATTGTTATTCGTGAATATTGTTACTATTAAGATGATGATTATTATTATTATAATTATTTTAACCTATTATAATTCTTGTGAATATGACTACGATTATTGTTGTTTGAATGTTGATTATTATGATTTTGTTGATAATTATCATTATGATAATTAAATTAAAAAAGACGGGCATGCTTCATAGGTGGATGCAGCTATTGAAAAGCGAATGCAGACAAAAAATTGATATATCAAAATGTTTATAATAATAATAAACCCTATAAAATGTCTATCATCAAATTTGTTTAACAATAATACACTAGAAAGTTATTTTCTTAAATTTTTTACCAAAACATGAAAAATCAATTGCAATATAAATAAAAGTAGTCGTTATTTCAGTGAATAATATACAAAAAAAAAAAACCAGAATTTGATTATTTTTATTATCTCTGGAGATATTATAATAGGTATAATGTATATAATTGTGGGACGCTCTGTATATACATATTTACGATCCCTTCTCCTTTAATCTTATGCAGTTTCTTTATAGGTATACAAATATTTTGTAGAAGAGGTGGGGGCGCTAAAACCGATTCTTAGCATCGGGTGCCGATTGTGCTACACGGCACTGGTATAGGTATATATATAATATAATATATATTTATAATATATATACGTATAATGGCTATTATATTGACTTCCGCAATGTACCAACTAGATTTAGAATGCTATAAAAAAGCTCTTTAGTCACTTTTTGGTTGGAACAAAATTTTTAGTATAAAATCAAAATCGAATATAATGAAACTTAATAATTACGTGAATACAGATCACGGAATATACGTATTTTGTAAATTCACGTGAACTTAAATTACGGAATTCATGTGCCACGTGAAATGCGTTATTATGCAACATAAATATCCGTGTAACTGTGACACGAATATACGTGTGAAATAAAACACGTATTTTATTAAGATCTCTAATTTAAACTATAACTACCGATTTGTGGAATTTCTATATAGATTGCTACTTGAAAATAAAATGGGGCCAGTGGTATCACCTCCAAAAATAAGGGTGACATAATGTAATTTAACATTTTTAGGATGGTAGTTTCTTAATTTTACTAAAAATAAACTAACGAAAGTTAATACTTTCAGAGTGTCTGACATTATGTCGATTGCTCTGTATAATTCTGCGAGTGAAAATTATCTTTCTAAAGTCCTAAATATTTATAAAACATATTATTTTAAAACAAGGGATTCCTACATAAAGTTTTCCGACCTTTTCGTCCCAAATCCTGCAGTTATGTCCTATACTGCTGCAACTCTCGTTTCTTGTCTCTCATTATTTGAAATGTTGAACGAACGAGAGTAAAAACAAATATTCGTTTTCATTTGAAACGAAATACTTATTTGTTATAAAGTCTCGTTAAAACGCATTAACTATAAAATACTATATATTTCTGCTATATTGTTTCCGTCATTACGACTCCAATACGTTTCAACTTCGTGCATTTTGAACGGTGGAGACTCGTTTGCGCACATATTAATATATTTTTTAAATTTACTACTCGTTTGCGCATAAAATCGTGAACAATGGAAACCTGCTTGTAGATACAGTTTTGGGTGTACAGGGTGTCATAAATTTTAACGGTTATTTTCAATCGTGGTTTCTCATCAGTTGTCACTAATAATGCGTTAAATAGCGATTACTGTGCTCACCAAGTACATAAGTCGTGTGGGAGCTTTAATCTTTATTGCTATATTTCAAATCTAACACTATTTTTGTTAAATTTTTTCGCCGATAATTGATAAATCTTATAACTTATAAGTTATAAGAAATCTCTTAAATATTTTAGTTTAGTTTGCGATCGCGGCGATGGACGCTATTTGTTTATCACGAAGATAAAAACATTGTATAATAATATTGAATTTCGAGAGTATAGGCAATGAAAAAAATGGAAAACTCTAAGTATAGTAATGTTGTATAAGTATAATAATAATCCACCATTTCTAATAACCAGGGTTGTGAACTTAATGTATTTGAATGTTATTTTTATTTTTTAAGCATATTATGCTTGTTTTAGTGCATAAATGCATGCAAATTTTAACATTTTAGAAGTTGGTATGCAAGTTAGGTACACTCTATACGTGGTTAAATGTTTTTATTGTTCGTAAATAAGTTGTAGCAATTTTGAACGTCAAAGTATCCGTTAGTAATTATATTTTCATCATATATATTTTTTTAAGTCGGGTCAATTCCGTTTTTAGTCGATAAATGAAAGAAATAGTCGTTTCTATACTATACGATATATTATTATTTCTGACGTACATAGAGTTAGACTCAAAAAGTAAAAAAAAAGAAATAAAAAACAAAATTATTGGCTATACATTTTTATTTTAACTCGACGAAAATCTAGTCTAGGACCCTAGATAATTTTTACTTTTCTTCTCTGGCTGTAATAATTTCAATTACAACCGTCGCTGTTCTACAATCGGACCGGTCCAGGATGGTACTGGATTCTATCTTCTTAATTCGTCAATTCTGATATTTTAAAATATTTTCTCACCCCATCTAACCATATTTTTTTTGGTCTATCCTCTGGTTTTTTGCTGAAACTTGGAGTTTCTGCTTTTCTCAAATCGCATGACCTCAAACCACAGGAGTCACTAATTTAGGTTGTTAACAATGAGACTTAATAATTTCTGTTAACTCTGTATTTTTTTTAATGTACTATTTGTTTAATTTACTGTCAAAAACTGGATCATAAATTTTTTTATTAGTATTTTATTTTCAAAAGCTAAGTAGGTTATTTTCAAGTTGTGAAACGAAATGAAAAATGTCACCAAATGACGAATATGACATAATATACTATACAAAATACGTCAGATATTTATAAATTTAATGCAAAAATAAAAGTAATAGTTTTTACAAACCTGGTGCATTGGATGTCTTGAACTCATTGATCCTGTATCCGGAGGTTTGTTGATCAACATCGAATGCATTGCCATTATATTGTTACCCGTAAAACATTGTACGTAATCGAGTAACTGATAAAAGAATGAAAAAAAACTATAGTTTTACGAAAATTACGTACTTATCAGGGATGAACGTGGGAAAACATGTCAGAGGATGGTTTTGTAAAACGTATCTATCACATATGACATTTGTGTTACATATTGTAGGTGCCTAAGTTTATTTTTATTTAAAAATTTAAGGGAAGTTTATATTTTGGAGGCGTTTGAACTCTCAAAACCCACTTGCTACTGGTAATATAATTATATAATTATATTATACATTATACAAACATATAAGATGTGTTATTATAATTAAATATTAGATGGTAGAAGCCGAAAATAAATGTTGAATTTAAATTAGAGATGAATAATATAATATAATAATGAAATATATTACTGTATTTTTTGTCAATTTAGGCATTGCCCGTAGAAAATATAATAAAATAAGATAAAATATTCTATTCGAAACGTGAATTAAACTCACGACTTTCTTCTTTTCCTTCATCTTCATTCCAATTATTTGGGATTGGCCACCTTCGTTCTAAACTTTCATTTCAATCGATTTCCCACCTTGTATGCAACGTTTGTCCTCATATATTTTTTTTTTTGTAGAATTATATAGAATTACATTTTTCAGGTTTGTATTCTTAGAATTTTAATGCATATTTTACTACCAGAGGATCAGAATACTCCCACGACACCTCTACCAGTCATAAGAGACGACAAAAGCTTTGATAGAAGAAAATTTAAAATAAGTTAACGAAATGCTTTTAAAAATGGAGAGTAAAATTTGAAGGAAAGGGACTAAGAATAAGTAGAAGTAAAATATAGTACATAGAGTTTAAGTGGAGGAATAAGACAATACAGCTTACGACAATAAGCGATGACATAATAGGCGAGGTTGAAAGTTTTAAGCACCTAGGATATTTTGTATAAGAGAACGGTGGCTTTTCTGAGAATGTGAAACATAGTATTACGTTTAGTTAGATAAAGTGGGGAGGTGTTTTGTGTTTTATACGACAAGAGAATTTCAATGAGACTTAAAGTTAAGTTCTACAATGTGGTAAGATTGACTATGTTGTATGGTTCAGATTGTTGGGCGGTAGACACAAAAATAGAATGGGAGAATGTAGCAGAGATGACAGTGCTTAAATGGACGAGTGAACCGACAAAAGAAGATAGTATAAGGAATGGGCACATAAGAGGTTTATTAGACGTGGTTTCGATAGTAGAAAAAATGAGAGAAAGTAGGCTAAGATGGGTTGAGCATGTTATGGGGAGAAGGTTCTGAATATATAAGTCGAATCTTTTTTGTAAATCGAAAAAGTATTTTTCATGAGAATAAAACAAATTTTTTTAAAAATTTTTCGTTATTCTCAGAAGTTAAAACCCAGAAAAAAAGAACTGAGTTCAAAAAATCGGACCGAATGTTGTTTTAGCGCAGGGTACTATTAGATTATTGTTAAAAAAAACTTAAGAGGAACATAATGGATTCGTGAGTAAAATTTAAACCTTTTCTTAGATTTTTTTTTCCAATTACTTTTCTTTGCAGTTATACAAGGAGGTTAAACATTAGAAAAATTAACTTTCCGAAGCACAACGTACTGTCAATGTAGTTTTCAATTAGTTATTATTATTATTCTTAGGCGACTATTGATAACTGATGGATAATATTATTTGAGTGTTTGTATCTTAGAAAAATAGAAAAAACCTATATTGTCATCGTACATCATTGTAAAACTTGAGACAGCTGTTCCCTTGGGTGACGAAATTATGCGGCGGGAAAGTTGGACAAGAAAGTTTTTCGAATGACAAATCAAAGACGATAATATTTTGTTTACTCGTATATTCGGGAGGGGGGGGAAATGATACTGCCGACGTATAAGCTATTTTAGTTGTTTTTGGGTAGTTGGGAAAGTAGGATATATATTGCAGGGCAATTTATTACAAATTAAAAAAAAAATTCTGAACTGAGTAAGTATTAATTTTTTATTTTTTCGTCCGACTAAAAAAACTAAAAAAATATTAAACATTTGTTATGTTTATTGAAGTTTATAACGTCACTCGTCTAATATTTTAAAATATCATCTACTCACGAATCGCTTCGAGGAAAAGGGGCGTTTTGTTATTTTCCACCCTTAATTTATTCGCTTTAATTATCATTTTTAAATTACGTTTAGGAGTATAGTTAGGTGAGCTAAGACTTGACACAAGGACACAGAAGCGGTTTAATCGAAAGACATTATATTATTATTATTTTGCCGTTGACAGAAAATGATATTTTAGAGGGTACCCATTTAAATTTTACACCATCGAGAGTGGTAAAAGTTTTATAACTGTAGATGACAGTAAAAAAAAAGCACATTATAATACATTTTCGTATTAATACTATACACTTTGCGTACTTACGCGTTTTTACGCGACTATGAGACCTTTTTTTAAATTTTTATTATAGGTAATAATTACTCTTTTAGTATTATTTTCGCTTTTCTGTTGCCGTTATAGAAAATAGCGTAAAGTACAATTTCAGATATTATAAAACTTCGTAAGTACCTATCGAATAATACAAAACTCTCTTTACCGATGTAAATTATTTAAAATCAAAACTTGTATTAAACTGGAACGTGTTATATTATGTCGATTTTGTACTTTCTCGAAAACAAATTGATTTTATAGTACCTATACTCACATTAGGTAATAAAAAATGTATCGTTTGTAATATTTATCGAATGAATGCTTTGTATTTTTGTTGGTTTACAGCGATAGTGCTATGAGTTTATCTCATTTTTACGCGTCTTATTATGTTTTATTTATTATTTCTTTTTTGGAAAGATCACGATAAATGTTTACAATCCGACACCTATAATTTTTATTAAGGTTCAGACAGCAGAAATGGTTTTTGCGAATTTTCGCACACCTTAAATGAAAAAAAAAAAAAAAAATGAAAAATCTAGAATTATTACAACGTTTTCAACAATAGAATTGTGCCTGATAAGTAAATAAAATGGACCAAAATAATTTCGTGTAGCAAATTAGATGAAAACTGGCCAAATATAAACAAAGCTACAGTTGCCTTACTAGTAAAATAACATAGGATGGTAGACGCAAGTTAAATATAATAAGTAGGACTGTATAAGAAAAACAGATATGCTTCGTACGACGGTGGGCCACTATTGTAGATAAGAAGATTGGGCAGATTTAAAAATAATACATTTCGTAAATTTTTAATTTACGTTTTTCCCGTTTATTATGAAAACAACTGGGAAAATCAATGACCTCCCGAAAGTATCACTCAAGGTAGATTTCCTTTCAAAAAAAGTGATATATATATGAAAATCGGAGTAAAATTGTTGGTAGGAAAGTTGTCTACAGAAAAAAAAATAACAAACATCATTGCAAAACCAATATATTCCTCGTTCCACTCAGAATCTAAAATAGCTTTTCAAAATAAAAATCGCTTATGAATCACGAGCAGTGTGGAACTTGACATCAGGAAATTTTTTAACAACATACATAAAAATGCTTATATGCTATCGATTGCGAGAACGCCCCGAATCGCGGTTTTCGGTTATTATTATAATATTATGGTCACGAAAATTGACGCTATAAATTTTAACAATATATTATTTGTTATTCTGAACATGGACCGCTTATATAAACAAAAAAAAAAAAAGAAAAATAATAAAAAATGGGTGCGGATCTCGCGGACAGACAGAAAAAAAATTTAGTAAAACAGCCTAAAAGCCAGACAAACGGTGTGGTATACTCTAGTTTGACGGATTTTAACCTTACCGATAAATAATAGGTAATAATAACGACGCCGATAATAACAAAAAACGACGACGACGATATGATTAATATCGTTAAACGTTTTTAATAAATTACCTTTCAGAAAATATAATGTTGCCGCAAGTACCGTAATATTAAACCTACGTGTATATAATTCCTATCCTGAAAGTATAAAAACACGAAATTTTTAAAAAAAAAAATATGGCATACAAGTTATATCGATACGTTTACAATAAAATAGAAATTACGTCTACTGTTTAAATAAAAATAGTACTCACGTATTTTAGTACGGGGGTATTTTAATGTTCGACTTTTGAAAAAAATAATTCCGAGAGGGTTGGGTCTGGAAACCCTTGTAACTCCCTGGTTAGTATTTGTGAATTTGTGTTAGAGCGTGACTTGATGATTAATCCCTTGGATTAAAACTCGAATTATATATTGGTACCAACATAAATGGAGAGGAAGAGTGGCTCAGTGGTGTTTATGTTTTAATGTAACGTTTTTGAACATACTGCAGTACCCTTTTGATATTAGTTTTCAATATACCTATTATGATTTAAGTTCACCCTTCCTATTAAACGAGCTTCAGGTTTACCATTACTGTATGATTTGACCTTGTTTAATATGTAATATCTATAGCATTTGAATACATTTTTCAGAGATTACCGAAAAACATAACGATTAACGATTAATAATATGTTTTAAATAGTATTTGCAGCGATCGTTCAAAAGAACCAAAAATAACAATTATACCTTCGGGTGTAGGAAGTATCGTTCGAAAACTTCGTCCCACAGTATGTCTTGAATCTTATTAACAATTTGCTCTTTAGAGACGAATTCGCGCCCTTTCTCGACGATCGACGATATGTCCCTCATTACGGTTATTCCCCCACGGCTCACTTTACCGTCGCATATATCGACGAATCTTTGTCTGTATGAGGAGAAAATGAAATATTTTAAATTTTCATTTTACGATAATAAAAATTCCATAAAAAAGTTTATCATTAATATTGTAGACTTACTTGAATTGGTCCAAAAGCGTTTGGTTAAATAAACGTCTGATGACGAGGAATCCGTTTTTTTCGTAAAAGTCTCTCAGTTCCGGCGACATGAGTCCGTCATTTGACGACAACGTGTATTTGTACGATTTTCGATTTCCTGTTGCCATCGCGGTAACTCTGTCAAAATATAAAATAAATAAATAATCTACGAGACATAAAAGTTCTATTATACTGAGCTAAAAAACAATAAAACTTTTATACATTATTTATCGGTCTGATCGACAGCATTACAATCAGGGTTGGGCAATATCTTCGGTGCAAGTATTTTAGACACGGTTTTACCGCGTATTACGATACTAAAATCAGTGACTCTAGTAAGGACTATCAAGAGATACTTATTTTGAAGTATTTCGATCGTCTCTGAGAACACTCATTATTATAACCGTTAAAAATGTATAAAATACGAAAACTTTGTCATAAAATAGTATCATAACTACTAAAGTTGCAATGGTTAGGCCATGCACTTAGGGAAAATATCCCTATGCAGCTATCTATTTAAGAAACCAAGTCTGGAACTATCTATTCACCAACTAAATCAAAAAAACGTTACAAAAAAGTTCCTATACAGTTTTTAATCGGATCAAGTTTTTCCATAGAAAAGTATTTTAGAGACGACAAAAAAAAACACACACACACCATAATATAGTAAAATTAAAACAATCCTCGCAGAATCTAAGAAAAAAAAAAAAGAAAGACTATACGAAAGTAAGTTCGAAATTTAGGGAAATTCCTCCGAGAAAATCGTTGGAGTAGCCCACTGTATAAAATAATGTGATTGCCAGCAACTAACTTCTAACATTTGTACAGAAACTTTATTACTTTTACTATAACGTCTTAACGGGCAGGCGGGTACAAATGTAATGACATAATAAAAATGCGCTGCAGAACAATGTGTATTATAAATACAATTAATACAATTAATTATATTATCGACTTGGTATAAATATTATAATCGACCAATATAATCCGTTATAAACAATCATTGGTGTTCCCATCAATTTTTTTGAGAGTATACAATAACATTCTGCGTTGCATACAGTTTTTTTTTTTATATTTGTTGTATGATTTGTAATGTTTAAAGAGAAATTAATGTAAATTTACAAATATTAAACTAAAATATCCAAAATAGGACTGAAAATTAAAAAAAAAAAAAAATTAATTATTGCGAATTTTTATAATTATCGAAATAAATAAAATATGTAATATTATGGTTTAAGCGATATAAGATGGTATGAACGGGCACTGATTAATATATAATACAATATGATAAATTTTTTTCTTTTTACATTTTCATTCGACTATTTTGACTATTGAAACTATTTTGCAGCATGCCCGTGATTTTTCGGCAAAATGTTGAGAGTATACGGCGTATATGTAGTGTACCCTAAGGGGGCAACACTGTAAATAATCAGTATTATAATATTAATACTTAGAAACAAGGGCGGCGGCGGCTGTACTTATAGTAGGTACAGCCGTCGAGTCCACGTACTATAATAGACGACTCCAGAATTCATTTTGTATAATATTATATGCGTTGGTGTATAATAATAATATAATCCCGTTAATAATAATTTTCTGGACTTAGCCGGGCAGCGACCCTGTATTATTAACTTCGCGAAACCGACAGTTCCGTACAGATTACGCGTTTGGCGTCTCTTTCTCCTTCCCCCTTCTCTCTATCTATCCCGTCACTGTATATATATATAATATAAAATAAGCTTTGACGACGTAACAATAAAACATTATATATATGCATGCATTTTTTTTTTTCATACTCAATCCATCCGCACGGATACGAGGGCGGCCCGAAGAGCTTTACCGGCAGTATATACACGCTATACGCTAAACTTACTAAAATAAAGTTGTCGAAACATAAAAAATGAATTGAAATATAAATATGTTTAGTCCTTATCCCTGTGAATAATATAAAAAAAAAGTAGAATGTGATTATCTTTGTTATATCTTAGAGATATTACAATGTGCATATCTTCGTGGGAGACCCTGTATATACCAACCGAGTTAGTTTTTAAAACTAAGATAATAAGATATAGTGGCATCGGTCTGGTTATGGATGGTCCGGGTCTGAATTTTTCTACAGGAAGATCTTCGGTTCAGTCGAAATTATTTTGATAGGGATTCATAAGTTTCGTGTTTTATTGTTGAACATTTGTGATGCAATATTTTAACAATATTGTTTCGTTGATTCAGGCTATTGTTTTTGTCGAGTGTTTAACTGGCTTAAATTATTAGTGTATTATATTGACTTCAAACTTCCAATCATCGTGTAGTAATGCATAATAGTATTTTAAACCAGGCTCCCCTAGCGCGGAAAACTGTAGTATCGTGTGTACACCGGACATAAAGAAGATGGTTGAAATGTACAGTTTAGCATTCCCAGTAAGGAATTTGTCGCGAAATAGCGACTGCAACGGATACCGAAGTAAAAATTTTAATTTTTTGTAATGTACACCTGTAAAAACGCGATCGTAATATTGTAATATTTTCGTTTTAATGGCGGCGGAGCGTATCGGGAAGATTTCGTATAATATATACAAACAGGCTTGACTTTGAAAATCCGTTTATTATTTATGATGGTATCCGGAAAATCGCGGTAAGTAGAAGAAATGGAGGAGACGCCATGTGGATACAGCAGCTGTATAGTCTGTTTATCACGATTTTTTTTTCACCCGCTAAATCTCCAAAACACGCTATCGTTTTTCTTCATCATCGTACAGTAATAATAACAACGCCTCTTATCGGCAAATATATGATTACCACGTGCGACAACAATATTTCACGGGGGTCGGATTACGGTTTTCGTTGTAATATATTATGTACCGGATCAAAATATCAATATGCAAACCGATTATAAACAAAAACAAAAAAAAAAAAAACCTCACCTACCTAATTTATAATTTGCCAGCATACCGTGATTTCCGTAACCCGCACAAGCTTTCCAGTTTTTGACCAAAAATAATATTACGCTAGAGTATGGTTTTTTGGGGATGCCAATATACCCGTATGCATGTGAGTTTTTTTTTAAATTTTTTTTATTATATTTCGGTTCCCCCGAGTAATTAAAAATCGACCGTGTCGCTGCACATCTGCACGTTTCCGAGAGAGATGTTGTTCAACAATTTTATATAGGTAGTTCACGTAGGTATATTTCATTAATGAGAACCGTGCGTATGTAAACTAGTATTTTTTTTTTTTTTATTACCTTTCATAATAATTTATACAGGGTGTTATCCCACGAGGTTTTCACAGTAAATTATAGCGACGATCCCGTACAGGTTTTTTAAATTAAGTATATTAAATATTTTTATTTTTTTTATTCATATATCCTTTATAATTATAAGTCCGCCTTTCTAAAAAAAAGGAAGAGAATAAGACGAGAAACATGGGTTATAAAATGTAATACTTGAAAAAAGCCAACTTGTTCAACTAACAAACTTATTCAACATTTAGAAAAACGCGATGCGAGTGGGAAATATAGTTATTGATTCGATATACTCCATGAACAGATATCAATATAGTTTTGGTACTCTTACTAAATATTTTGAACCAATAGAAAAGTTAGGAAGGATTTCAAAAGTTACATAATTTATAACTGTACGCAACGACAAACAATAAATGATTCTAAGTGAAGTTTCGTTTAACATGTTTTGACATCTTTCGAATTACAATGAAAAAAATAAAATCGAAAATAATTTTATCGCTGATGTTATGTTTCACGGGTTTTTTTTTTTTTTTTACAATTATGACGACCATTAAATAGAAAATCAAAAGACGACCAATTGAAACGCACCAATAAAATACAATTTGCTCCCAGAGAAGATGCTAAAATAGAATATCTGAGTAATATTTCTGGATGAAAAGAAATTTACAGACAGAAAAAAACACACATAATAGAAATTATTAGTAACTCCATTGATTTAATAATTGTTTAACTGCACTCCAGATATATAATATTCAAATTATAGAGAATAATACACTCTACCTAAGTCGAGACCCGAGACGGGTGTAATAATATCATAGCATATTGTTATGTTGTGTTAATTAAATTCGAAAATAATTGAATATCATTTTGGAAATACGATTCCGACATTTTAAGGGAAGAATTTAATACGCTTCTTTGTTTTCGATTAGTTTATTGCGATTATTTGTGCTTTCATTGTATTTTCATAATATACTCGACAAATTATACTATTGTATGTATTGCATGCAAATTGTTGGCTTATTATTTTAAAGTGCATTTAGATAATATTATACTCGTACTGATATGAAATACGAAAAACTGAAGTGCTCGTAAGTTTTCTATATTCTGAGCCTAGCGAGAAATGTACATTGGTTTTACTATGATGCGTATTTTATTCTGCCTGTAAACGACTTGCCCACCAATAATCTTGCTTCGATTAAAAACCGACAAGAGATTTTTTTTGTAGCATTTTTGATGTAGTTGAGGCGATGAAGAAATCATTTTTTAATTTTCCATACAGTTTTCATAATAATTGGAAAAATTTAGGGTTGAAACGTATACAGAAATAATGGTTTCACTATTTTTAATGTTTTTTTTTTTTGTTATTAGGTTTTACATTTTTGGAAAGACCTGAAATTCAATGTTAATCAGTGTGGACAAGTTGTACAATACAGCACTATTGGTATTAGAAGTTTCATAATACTGTAGTAGTGTAGTAAATATAGTGACATCAGTCATTGGATGATATTCGTTCGTTAATCTGTAGTCCTCATCCTCGAGCTGTGCGTCATTTCTGTCGTTTTTGATAACGCTTAGCTATAGATATCTAAAGTTTAAAGACATCAGCTTTTTAAAAATCTATAATATTATCGACTGTTTTGTAATCTATATTTTGAGTTTCTCTTTGATATCATTAAGTATTTTGTTTTACTTTCGTTTACGCGTGTAAGCCTAAATTTATTGGCTAGCTATTAAAAATCTGAACGTTATTTTTATGACTTCATCTTTCGTTTCACCCATTATCACGTCATTTTTATATTTTATTTTACGCTAGGTATATAAATTAATAATGATTTGGTTTTACTTTGCACTTATATGGTTGATTTTAATCTATATATTAGAGAATGA